GCAAGCTGCGGGGTGTAGGGCACAGCCGAATCCGCTGGGCCCTCCTGTGGTCCCTGCGCCTCCAGCAGCTCGCCTTCTCTGCTTGTTAATCAGTCACTGTTTGTCAGGTACCCAAGAAATATTTCCAGGTGTATTCCTGTGTGTATCTTTGCTAGGCACTGTACCAGTTGCTTGAATAATATCCTACTCTCTTTGGGTTAGTAGTAGTGAAAACTGGATAGCAACTTACTTTGGATGTATGTCTGTTAAACTAAGTAATAACTTCAAGAACTCTAAGATGGGCATAAAGTCACTGCAGTTCCGTGTATGAATGTCTGCCATCTGTGAGCTTCTCAAGAGGTGTAGCTTAATGTATGTTGTGTTAAAATCTCAGGTGTATTTCAGCCAGATGACTTTTTTACTTCATAATAACACACTTGTATTTTAAAGATTTTTTTTTTTTCTTCTGTTCTCTCTTACTTCCTCGTGAAAGATGAGGGAAAACAGTGAAAATGATTCTGTGCAAAATGGTGTCAAATGCTCACAGTAAACGAATCAGAAGAAAGATCTGTCCTTTTCTAAGCAGTGAGGTCTTGCATGTTTCTTGTAGCGAGAGCTGATGAAATACCCCGTCTTATTTTAAAATAAACAGTGTATCTTTAAGTATAAATGCTGGCAGCATCTTTTGGTTAGTTTCCATTGTAACTTCAGTTCCAGATGTTCACAATTTTCAAGAACAAATTAAATTTTATTTTTTTTTTTTCCTGATTGATCTCTGAAGATTTAAGAAAAGGAGTGTAGAACACTTAAACAGAATTCCTTTAGCAATTCCATATTACGGGAGGGGAGGAAGAATCTAGCTGTGCTTTTATACGCATAGATTTTTTTTTTTTTTTCTTAACAGAGCTGAAGTTTGAGGATAGACAGCTTCTCACTGAGGAGCCAACCTCCCCCCCCGTCCTTGGTTCTGGGAAAAAAGAAAGTGATTTAAAAAAATGTGGCTCTGAACACTTGCTGTGGCAACTAAGGCTCTGGTACTTCATGGAGTTCAGGGTAGGCAAATTCCTGCTGTGCAAGGATCCCTTCTAACATCTGTGTGCTGTTTTGCATAGGTGAATAGGACCCATGTGGAGCTTCTTGCAGGATCCGTGCTGTGTCTTCAGTAGACCTTAAAGACAACTTTAAATTGATAGTCTTAGGTGGTTTGTCCCTTTCTGGTTTGATAGTCATGCTAATTGTTAGCAGCAATGTGGAAGATCCTTTTAAATAGAATACAAGATAATTTTTCCTTAGTTTACTTCCTGCAAGGAAGCACTATGATGGAGCACTTCATTTAATTATCCTACTGCAAAGACATGTCGAGTGTTGACATGGTATTGTTCCTGGGACAACTTGCTTGAAAAATCTTGTAGGCACTGATTGAAACTTGTGAGCACGTGTTCCCCAAAGTGGTATCCCTCTTCTGAAGCTACGTGATCTCAGTGCTTGTTTTAAAACCAGAAAAAAAAAGAGGTGGGGGGTGGGAAATATCAGCATATGCAAAAACCTTAGTTTGTCATCTTCCAGCTGACAAAACCATGCACTGTAATTTGCAGGGCCTTACTGAATGGTATGGATGGTCCAGCATCCATACCAGTGGAACGTTGTGTCACAAGTAACAAAGATTTGTGCTGTTGCCACCTTCAGGGCATAAGCCAAGCCCTTTTTGTGTGTTTTCCTATTTGATGAATGAGCCTATTTAGTTCCTTTGTGAAAAGAGCTTTCCTGACCAGTCTTTTGCACAAGAGATGAAGGGGATCTGTTCTGACCAGAGTTCCCTGTGCTCCGTGAATGTGTGGTTGCTCTAGTGGTAGAGGTTTCTCCTGCGTAAAGGAGTTCAGGTAGCCCAGTGGAAAACCCTAAAATAGAAAAACTGAGTCCTGGAAGAACCCCTATCTTAGCCAAACTAACCCACTGCTTGTCTGCCCAGCATGTATGTGCATGCACATATATGCTCTAATCTTCTAAAAGATTAGAAAAATTATATAATTCTCTCTATAAAATATAGTTTTCTGTATAACTAAATATATATATTTTTTCTGGTTTGTTTGTTTTTTTTTTTCCCCTGGCTATTCAGTTAACATGCCATAATTTTGCAACTAGCCATGTGCTTTGTTGCAACTTTAACTCTTGCATTTCCTGGCTTATTTTTACCTTACACTTCGTATAGGTTGTTTGGTTTATTTTTTGTATTTAACACACACAGTTTTAGTGTCTCATCAACAGAGTCTTCTCTGAGAGTAGGATTTGGGTTTAAATGACTTGAGATGCAAATTTGAGTAGACTCAGTGTATGATCAAATCCCTCTAATTTAAGGATCATTGACCTTGCTCCAGTGTGACCATCAATGTATCATTCATCGAAGAGAGCAGAAAGGATCTTCTCTTCTGGAGTGTCGAGTAAAGGCTTGCTTGTTTGCTGCTGCAGTTTTGCTCATGACAACTTACTGTCACTTGCAGAGTTAGGATATTACTTTGGTCCTAAGTAGACTGCTAATACTTTCTTTCTAATATAGTAACTGGTTGAATGCTGGTGAAAAAATGAGTATATACATTTTGTGCTTGGTGGCCTCTGAAGGCAAAGTGTATTAAGAGAATTCATCATTTTTATAGGAGTGTAAAAAGTATTTTATTTTAATCTCCCTGAAAAAAAGTATATAAATATATACAAATGTAAGCCTTTAATGTAGTGGAACCCTTGGAGGTGCAGGCATCTGCCCTTGCTGATCTCACTGCAGCAGTGTGTCTGAAATGTGTTTTTGTAGGGCTGGAATGAACCATTTTGCCACAGCCCTGTTGTGGGGGAATAATGCAGAATTGTATTGCCCCAAGGAAATCATTGCAAGGTACAATCTGGTTTCCTCTGTGCAGGCAGCCAGACAGGTGTGTGTGTTGTAGGGGAAGAAGTGAGAGGTAGATACGTGAATGATATCAATGGCCCTGTGGAGGGAGCAGCTAATATTTTTATTTGAGTGTATGGTTTGAGTTTGCCGATGTTATAGGGATACTCTGATGACAGAGGAAAGCCCTGAAAAAATCCCCGTTTTCACATTTCCAGAATTTACCCGTTAGTTCCCAGTGGCCTGTAATCACAGAAGCCAAATTTGTATGACATCATACCTCACTCTCCACTCACTGGTTTGTTTTTATTTAAAAGTGAATAGCATGCTTTCTGTAACTTAATAGAAACCCCATTCTTTTTATTAGAGACTTTAACGATTAGATTTTCTCCAGGTATTTTTCTAAGTATTCTCATTTACTTGGATGTAATATATGCATATCAGTATCTCTTTGACTGTAATTCACTTTGTTCTCTATGTCTATATTTTTTAGGACCTTTGAAACCAGAAATTACCATAACTTACATTGCTGTTTCAGCTATATTCTTTAACAGTGGACTCTCCTTAAAAACTGAGGTACTGTAATTTTTCATTGCTTCATTCTTGTTTTGCTTTAAAAAGTTTTGTGTTGCTTTTGATCAGGTTTGCATGTAATTGGAATATTTAATTACTATGCTGCTGTTGCTGATGCTGGGAGAATGGCTAACAAGAGAAGATAAATATTAGACATTTATGGAATAACCCCTCCTTGATTTCAGAAGATTCTTCACAAAGTAGTGAACGTGATGAGAAGGAGAGTATGAATAAATTTCACCCATCCATAGAGGGCGGGTTGCTTGACTTTGCAGGGCTTTGACCAAATGGAAGTGCTGAGCACAATTTTGAGGCTGGAGTGACACCCTGGATGTGTCCCAAACCCAAATCAGGGTGAGACCCAGGAGCACACTTAGCACCTGCCTTCTGCCACCCCTTCTGCACCCTGGCTTCCCCACTGCTCGGTTGAGATACAGGCCAGAAAACTGTGCGAATCCTAGGGTAGAACTTTGTAGGGAACTAGGCAGAGAGGGGCTATGTGGAGTCTCCATGCCTCTGTGGGACACGAAGAGAAGATGTGAGCTCTCTGTGCCTCTCTCCTTCATCTTGCCTGCTGGTGTGCTCTTTGAGTAAAACTGTTCAGACTAGACATTACAGGATTGATGCAAGCAAAGATCTGGTGGCTTTAAGTTACCACATCGGGTAGGTGCAGGACAGCAGCTAGTATCAACACAAAAAGGTTCCTCTGCAGATGCAAGGCCAATATACAGGTACAAAGTCTTGGCAATCTTTTCCTGTAGGATTTAGTTGTGGACAGGCGGACTTGAAGTGCCTGTGCTCTGCTGCATATCACAGACACTGAGTCTTTTTTCAAATTTTGTGTCACGCATGTTTCAAAGAGGAACAATCTGGGAGTAAGAAGAGATGAAGCGGAGAACCTCTTAGTGATGTGTAAAGGAGGCATGGAGAAAGGAAATGATGGCTATGTGCCAAGAAGAGAAGGAACATCCAGAGCTGAAGTCCGCTGGTCTAGTTTCTTGATTCCTTTTACAGTGTTAGCTGTGCTAACAGGTGATGTCATTCATATGTTGCATGATACTAATGCCTAAAAGAATCATCATGATATTGTCCAGTTATCTTCTGGGCAGACCGGGATTTGGGTGAACAGCGTGCATTCAACAAAACAATTTCTATACCTGTATCATGGTTATAGTGATAAAGTTTCAAATGGAGGTGGTGTTTGAATTGATGGCAGCCCTCTCCTTCTGTGTCTGCTGGCAGTTCTGGTACTAGGGCCTCTAGTTCTGCTGGGACACAGTGTAAGTGAAGTGGATAACTTTAGTCAATTCTGTAGCAGCTATTTAGAGCCTTGTGGTCTTATGGGGAAGCAGGAAGAACCATGTTATCTATTTGCCTGGGACAATTTATTTCCATTAATCCTAATGGAAATATGCGGCGGAGAGGCACTTTCTTCCACAGAGGACCCAAAACACAAAGCCTGAGTAGTACTAATGGGTGGAGTTTTCTGCTTTCAGGGTGAGGAATCTCTGCATGCAGAGAAAAAATGTAAAACTTCTTTCCCTTTCACTAATTTGTATCCTTGAAGCTTTATATTTGTAAAGTATCTGTGAATGAGAGTGAAATCAGTAGCATTATCAAAGTCTTGATTAGATTCTCAATTCTAGTGTACATCTAACTTTTTCCAGTTAAGGTGACATGACTGACAGGTTCCTGGGCAATGTGTCATATCCTACTTTGAACTTGAATAACTTTTTTTCATCTGTGGTTCTAAAAGCAATATATTGATGTAAATGAAGCTTTTACAGGAGTTGATATTTACGTCCAGGTAGCTGATCTCAGATTGTTTTGGAGACATCAGTTAGGACTGGTGCTGTACATCCAGCTTTATGTTCCATCAAGAAGCTAAGCCTTTTCTGAATTTCTACCATGGGGGTAGAAGATAAAGAGGAAGAAAAACATTTCGCTCCTTGTACCTTGTGCTATTACTTTCTAAAATGTATGTTAAAAACAATCCTTAAGTGTGCTAGGAGGCCAGGTCATGATTTTATTAAAATACTTTGGGGCATGTTTTAATTGTTTAAGGCACAACCTAAAGCTGGCATTATTAGTCAATTAATATATCTCTTTATTGGATTGCAAAGTAAATAATTTCTGCTTTTGTCTTTAGTTCTTGACCTGTGTGTCAGCTGTTCTACCTTGGATAATATATTAGTTAGATCAAAACTAGTGTTTGGTATGCTTTATGAAACAATAAAAAGTTTTGTAAGTGTTAACGGAGGCCTTCTGATAAATCTGACAAAATTAGAAATAGCTGATGCTCTTTTAAGGTCACGCTTGGTTTTATCTGCTGTGAAAGCGCATGCTCAAAAAAATTTGCTAACACGCATTCAGAAAGCATTTTACAAAATAATTGGCAGCGTTCAGGAAGAGCCTGTCTGTGCATAGCCTTCTTACGTTTTCAAATGTAGAGGTCACTGAGGTCCTCTTACATTTGTAGAAATAGTCTGTGTCCAGGAATGACAAGAACATTTGATTCCACCTTAATATAATGCTCTTTCAGTTTTCAGTGACTGGATAGCCTGCTCTTCTAAAGCAAATACCTCCTGTAGGGCCCCAGAAGTTAAATCATATACTTGAGTTATCCATTTCAATGAGGAATTTGGCAAGCTGCTGAAAACACTGTTTGCTCTGTGTGGGTATTTGCTCAGAGGAGTCCAGCTATGACCATCTAAGCATGGCTGGATGGGAACAGGGACCCACACTGACCAGCGGGCGGCTAGGATAAGCTTTCTAAAGGGTCTGAAGTACTGGGAAAGACAAGGTAACCTGTTCTACCTGGTGTGCAAAACCAGAGTCATAACTAGCAGCTTCCAGTAACTTTTCTGAGACTTTGGCTTTTTTGAGGGCTACAGTGATAGATGTATTTTGGGACAAGCCCTTGTAGATTGCTTAAGAGGGTGAAGGCTGTTTGCCTCAGTGTTTGTTCTATGATGATACAGTCGAAGGAGTAACTATTTTAAAAGGCAATCACTAGAGCCATTTTAAAGACTGGTAATTTAGATCTGCAAAGGCCCATTCCAGTAATACAGCATTCCTTCATGCACTAGGTTTGCTGTGTCGTAATTGCCTTCCTTGCTTCCTGGAAGCTGTAACCAGTCTTTCCCAAGTTTTTGTCTTGGATTTTGCTTTTGAAAGTATCACACAGTTTTCTTCAAATCATCTGGTTTTAAGGCATTTTCCAATTGTAAAAATATTAAATTAAAAGGGCACTTCTGTATGTGTGATGGTACCTGGATTGGGGGTGCCTTCATAGGTTGGTCCACTAGGACCAATCTGGGCCGGTGGTGACTTGGCAGGAAAGAAGGAGGAATTAGCAGCTTTGCTAAAAGAAGTCATTTGCTTTGGTTTTTCTCAGTTGTATTATTTACTTTTAAAATGTATGCTTTTATATAGGTATTTCCAGGTATCTTTTCTTCCCACACAGGATGCGTTTCTACTACTAGACATTTTATTTTTGCTTTCTTTTTGAGATAAGATGAAATAGTGCTACAGTGAAGCTATTCATAATGCCGTAGGTACTGTGACAGGTTATGTGTGAAGAAGGCCTATTTTTTCATGCAGAGTGATACTCAGTTAACCAAGCACTGAATGTAATAATACTTTCTTGGTAAAACTGGATCAAGATGTACGTTTCAAGTCCATGTTTTGTGTAACTTTAAGAATTGGATATGAATGGAT